GGGGGGGGGGGGCGTGGCATCAGCGGAGAGGGGCGTGGCATCATGAGTGACAGCATAACAAAGAAGGCTGAGGACCTTCCTCAACCACGTTGCCTTCAGATAACGTAGGCACCGCGAGAATTATGACTCGACACTTTCTATACTCCATATTCACGTGAATGCAGTGGAACCAGCTACTGGTTGGATTAATCTTTGGTCCCTATATCAGGTCGGACGACCGATTCGCACGTCAGGACCGCTACGGGCCTCCACCAGAGTTCCCTCTGGCTTCGTCCTGCCCAGACGTAGTTCACCATCTTTCGGGTCCTATCGCACAAACTCACGCTCCACCTCCCCGACGGTGCGGGCAAGACGGGCCGCGGTGAGGTGGGATCCCGCGGGATCCCACCTCACCCGGCACGCCGGCCCTCACTTTCATTGTTTCACTGTGTTTGCGTCACCCTCTGACTCGCGTTAGACCCCCTGACCAGGGGAGTCACAGACCCGAGTGGAATCCCCCACGGATCCGTTTACCTCTCAGCGGTTTCACACCCTCTTGAACTCTCTCTTGAACTTTCCCTTCGGGTACTTGTTGACTGTCGGTCTTGTGCCGGTATTTAGCCGTAGATGGAGCTTACCGCCCACTTTGGGCTGCATTCCCAAACAACCCGACTCCGAGAAGACCGGACCCCGGCGCGACACCGGGCAAGCGGTCTTCCGTACGCCACATTTCCCCAATCCGCCCGTCGCCTCTTCGCTCGCCGCTACTGAGGGAATCCTGGTTAGTTTATTTTCCTGCGCTTAGTAATATGCTTAAATTCAGCGGGTTGTCTGATCTGAGCTCGGAGTCGAATGGCTTTTTGTCCCGGAGGACAACGGTGTGGCTCCCCCAGTGAGGGGGAGGCTCACGTTCTCACGATCGAGTACCCAGCCGCGGCGGAGGAGGGTCCCGGCCAAAACCCACCCAAACCCCTCAGACCCGCTAGTACGCGGTCAGCACGGACACAAGGTGTCCACCGGCAGCGCGCCCCTGTGAGTGTGAAATGTCCGATATTAAAGCGAGCTTGTTGAACGGCACTATCTGGTTTATTGCTCTTATGCTGCGATTCGTGCCAAGAGTCTGAAACACAACTTTGTCACCGGCTCAATGTTTGTACTGCATTCACGTGAATATTGTGTATAGAAAGTGTTGAGTCATAATTCTCGCGGTGCCCACGATACCTGAAGGCAACGTGGTCGAGGACGGTCCTCAGCCTTCTTTGTTACACTGTCCCTAATTATGCCACGCCCCTCTCCGCTGATGCCACGCCCCCCACACCAGATCAGGGACAAAAGTCTGAAAGTGAAAATATAAGAGCTCAAATATCAAAATATATATGAAAGTGAAAAATGAAAATAAATATTTAATTCAAAACAATTCCAGAATATTTAGAATTTTTTTTTGAAAACTTTGATGCATGTTTCAATGTTTCAAATGATCAAAACTCGTGTTCTGGATTAAGCTCTATAATAAAGTAAATAACCAACACGTCAATAATTATAATACTATGATTTGATGTGTATTATTCTATATAATAAATACTTTTATCTTTAGTACTTTCAGTATACCTTGATGCTGATACTTTTGTACTTAAGTAAGATCCTGAATACAGTACTTGTACTTCAGAGTATTTCTACACTCTGGTATTAGTACTTTTACTGAGTACTTCTCTCATGAATCATCATTTCTTTTATAAATCAGAGAAACAAAACAATATGAGTTTAAACTACTGCTGACCGTCTGAATAAAGACATTTATTTATATTTATTTAGAGCTTTAAGTTTTACTTTACTGGACTGGAAGAAGTTTCTTTGAAGGTATTTTAAGAAGTATTGTGTGAGAAAACTACACTTGATGTCCGTGTGTTTGTTGTTGACCGTTAAACTGAACTGATCTGAACTGCAGACAGAAGTTCACAAAGTATGTTCCTTCTTCTTCTTCGTTGGTGGTTGGTCTGTGTCCTCCTGCAGGCAGAGATGAGGGCAGCAGTGTTCCTGGCCATGGAGGAGCAGGACCAGCTGGAGGTGAAGGTTCATGTTTCTGTTTGGAGATAAATTAAATATCACGATTGATCGTCGTTCAACAGAATCATGATGTCGTGATGATGTCTTGGTGACATCATCACGATGGGAACAAACTGACTCATTTATCTCAATAAAGTACTTTTCACGAGTGAAGAGTTTAATGTGGAACCACGTGGTGGTTCCACATTAAACTATCTGTATTCATGGTGATGTGATGAAGATCCACATCCTGATGTTTCACTTTGTTTTCTGTTTCTCTCAGAACAAGAGTCCTCTGATCAACGAGAACCTGAAGAAGTGTCTGAACAGCAGAGACGGTGAGTCCTCCTCAGATTGTTGTTTTACAGCAAACATGCAACACGTTGACTCGTTGAATCTTCTCTACATTTCTTTCATAATATGAATATTTCATGTAAAGGTGAAAGTGAACAGAATATCTGTATTCATTGATTCATGGAGAAAACAATCAATAATGAGAATGATTCTGACTTCTGGTCCCAGTAGAATCAGATCATCAGTCAAATCAAATCCTCCACATCTGATTGGACGGCTGAGAGTGGGCGGGGTCAGTGTAACGTTAACCATCAGAGTGTAAATAAAGTGTACTGACTCAGTAGAACATGTGTTTCTAGTCTCTGATCTCTGATCATGTTTCATTGTAAACAACCAATCAGAGGAGAGCTAGCAACGTTAGCAGCACCGCTAACTGCTAACCAACGGAGGTTCACTTCAGTTACACTATGATGCCTTCAGGCTCTGGTCAGTGAACACGAGTACTGGCTGAAGGTACATTATAACGTTGTTTGAAGGAGATGTTTTCACATGAATATAAAACAGATATTAGAGATGAATTATGAGTCGTCTCCCTGCAGGACGTCTGGTGGCCGGTCTCATCGTGGACTTCCTGCAGGTCTTCAACCTGGACTTCAGCCTGGCCGTGTTCCAGCCGGAGATCAACTCGGTGAGTCTGAGGACCGGGAGACCAGAGTCTGAGTCAGGGTTTGGTCTCAGGGTCTGGTCTCTCTCTCACTGTCTTCTGTCCTCTGTCCTCCAAACAGCTCAACAGTCTGGACAGTCGGGACCTGGTCTGCAGAGATCTGTGTCTGTCAGAGTCCGAGGTGAACAGGAACTGTCCTCTGCTGCTGGAGCTGGTGAGGAGAGGACGACACAAACCCTCTGAGGTGAGACATGAGGACGTGAGGACGTGAAGACAAGTAGACATGTGGACATTAATCTGTCTGTCTGTGTTGTGATCTGGTCAGTAGGGATAGAATAGTTACAGCTTTGGTTTCCTGTTGATCTCACTGTGTTTACTGTTGAAGCTCAGAGTCACAGTACTACTACTACTACTGCTACCACTACTAGCACTACTACTACTACTATTACTGCTACCTCTACTAGTACTAGTACTGCTACTATTACTGCTACCACTACCAGTACTACTACTGCTACCACTACTAGTACTACTACTACTACTACTAC